GGGAAGATTGAATGTGGGGGGGGTGGGCAGGGCAGGGGAGAATAATGGGAGAAAAATGAGGATGACTGTAATTGAACAACAATAAAAATTTAAAGAAAAATATACTTATATATTATAAGTATATTTAACAGGGTTATATTTTGGGATCAGGCAAAGTGATACATTATTTTAAATAAGTATCTTGAATAAATTGAATATGGCATTTGCTAATTTTAAATCAGTTAAAAAATTAAGATCTAAGAATTTTTCTTAAACTCTGAAGTATTTTCTTGATGTTTGCCAATTGAATTATGTCTCTGTAAAAGAATAATTGTATAACAATGTTTTTACAAACAAGCAAGAAGAATAAAAACAAAGACACTGAAATAGAGCACAAGGGGACAGTGACCAGAGGGGAGAGGGAAGGGAATTTAAGGGGGAAAAAGGGGAGGGATTTGGAGGAACAAATATGAAGGACACAGGGACAAGAACTAAGGGGGGTGGAAATGGAAGGGAGGTGGGGAGCATGGGGGGGGGGGGCTGGGATGGGAGAAATAGACAAAAAACTGTATTTGAAAAATAACTAAATAAAATTATTTAAAAAATGTTTTTAAAAAGTGGACTTTATGTTTCTTATTTAGCAAGAAGGAGGTTCATTTAAAAAATATATCTTATCAATTATGCTATTACATTTGTCCCAATTTTTTGCTCCTTTTCCCTCTCCATCTGGTACCCCTATTCCCTCTAGTAACCCCCCCACCCTTAGTTCATGTCAATGGGTCATGCATATACATTCTTTGGCTTCTCCATTTTCTATATTGTTCTTAACCACCCCCTGTCTATTTTGTACCTACCAATTATGCTTCTTAGTCCCTGCATGTTTCCCTCCATTTTTTCCTTTCCTCCTCCAAGCTGATAACCCTCCAAATGAGCTCCATATCTATGATTGTATTCCCATTCTGGTTGTTTGTTTAGTCTGTTTTTTTGGATTCAGTTGTTGATATTTGTGAATTTGGTGCCATTTTAGTGTTCATAGTTTTGATCTTTCTCTTAAATAAGTCCCTTTAACATTTACATAATAATGGCTTGATGATGATGAATTCCTTTAGTTTTACTTTGTCTTAGAAGCACTTTGTCTGCTCTTTTATTCTAAATGATAGCTTTGCTGGATAGAGTACTCTAGGTTGTAGGTCCTTGCTTTTCATCATTTTGAATACTTCCTGCTAGTCCATTCTTGTCTGCAAAGTTCTTTTGAGAAATCAGCTGATAGTCTTTGTAGGTAAACTCTCTACTTTTCTCTTGCTTATGATGTGCCTAGGTGTGGTCCTCTTTGGGTCCAACTTGTTTGGGATTCTCTGTGCTTCCTTGACTTATATGTCTATTTCCTTCACCAAATTAGGAAAGTTTTCTTTCATTATTTTTTCAAATAGGTTTTCAATTTCTTACTCTTTTTCTTCTCCTTCTGGCATCCCTATGATTTGGATATTGACACATTTAGAGAGGTCCCAGAGTCTTCTTATCTTTTCATTAAAAAAATTCTTGTTTCTTCTTTCTGTTCTGGTTGACTGTTTATTTCTTCCTTATCTCCAAATAATTGATCTGAATCCTGGCTTCCTTCCCTTCACTGTTGGTTCCCTGTGGGTTTTTCTTTATTTCACTCGGTGTAGCCTTCATTTCTTCCCTTATGCATTCACCATACTCAATGCATCCTTATCACCAGTGTTTTGAACTCTGCATCTGACAGGTTGGCTTAAAAATTTTGAAAGTCCTGCATTTTATAGTAAGGAACTAGCCAATGCAATACTTCTGTTCTCATATAAGCTTGCTTAATTTTTTTTTTTGCCTCAGCAGAGTGTAATAAACCTTTAATTTGTGAATTTTACTTTGTTCTTTTATTTTGGGGTGAATTTTACTTTTTATACAACTATTAAAACCCTATTATTATCATATGAGATGCTAAGTACAGCTCATATATTGTTTAATCTATTCATGTAAAATATAAAATTCCTATTTTACTGATGAAGGATTTGAGTTTCAAACATGGTTAATTCTTTGCTTAAGTCACAAAGCTGATAAGTAACTACAGTGCATGGATTTTAATTGAAGACTATCACTTCAGAACCCATTCCTCATTTATGGTGATTTCATTGCTCCTTATGAAGTAACTCATTATATTACCATATGACTTTATTATGATCCAAGTTATATTCCCACAGGACATAAAAGTTCATAAAGCAACACTTTTATAAAACAAAGGAGCATCTACATAATTTCACGTTATTCTTATGTTTTACTATTTATAGGATTATAACATTCTCCAGTGTTTACGTGATGCTATATGTGTAAATGCACTACATAGGGTGAAGGATGAGTCATATCTGAGAGGGGCTTTTTTTGGCACTAAGTTGGCTTAGTAATTAAATAGCACTTTTGCTACCAGATTGAAAAATTAATAGCAAGAACTTTTATTATTTCTGATTTGCAATCTTTTTTCAGAATGGCTTCATCTTGAGTGCCTTTGAGGGGAAAAATCATGGTTTCCTTAGTAGGTATATTATTTTGCTAGGGCTGCTATAACAAAGTAATACAAATGGGATAGTTCCAGGAACTGAAATTCTTTATGTCTCAGTTCTAGAGGGTAGAAGTATAAAATCAGGATGTTCATAGGGTTGTTTTTTTTCTGAGGGCTGTGAGGGAGAGGATCTGTTTTATTCCTATCTCCTAGCTTGTGGTGATTTGCTGGCAATCTTCGGTGTTCCATGGCTTGTAGATGTATGACCCTGATCTCTGCCTTCATCTTCATGTGGTATCCTCCCTGTGTGTATATGTCTCTGTGTTCAACTTTTCCCTATTTATAAGGATACCAATCATACGGGATTAGAGTCCATCCTAATGACCTACCTCATCTTAATTTGATCATTTTCAAAGATCCTATTTCTAAATAAGGCCACATTCACAGGTACTGAGAGTTAGGACTTCAACATCTTTTGGGGGACACAATTTAATTCATAATAATAGGCATTTTCCTAAGATAATAGATTTGAAAAAAGTTTAGTAGTGGTTATATACATAATTTTACAGTTTATCAAATCATCAGTATAATTATATGCACATGTATCCCTAACTGAGTCATGTCTGAATAGGACTGATTTTGCACTGTGTTCTTGTAAAACAACTGTGGAAAGAACAAACTGGAGAACCACTCAGGAGGTTATCAATAAAAGATGACTGGATGTCACAGCATGTGGGGCATATAATGAGCTATTGGTATGACATGTACAAGATTGGTATAGCTGGTGGTATGATGAAGTTGGGATATAGGTAGACATCCAAGGCAAGAGGATGTTTCAGAAGCAAAAAGGGCACGGGTTTAGGTCCTGATGAAGGAATGAATATTATATGTATAATGGTGCTAAAGGGAGGCTTCTGGGCCAGTTATGTTGTCAAGGAATCCTGGCTTTGGCCCTTTAGCGTTAATGCCAGTTTTAACTAAGTTTCAAGTAATCGCCATAGGATTTATTTTGAATATTATCATGTAGAATATTTGAAATACATCAGTAACAAGAAGAAAAACATGACCTGTAATCTCACTACCCAGAGCTAGTCATTATTAATATTTTGGCATCTTGATGTAATTCCTATGCAATTTCTGCCATGATTTTTCATTGAGGTTATATCACATAAACAGTTTTCTAAAATTTGTTAGTTTATATATTCTCTAAATATATATCTAAGTTTGAGATCCTTGGATAACAGATCTAATGGCCATTAGTGATGAATTGGGCCACTGTAATTATGTAAACCATTAGGTCAAATCAGCTTTATCTCATGTGATTTGGTCCTTTGCCTTCAGTCTTGTCTTTCTCCTATCTTTCCCACTGCTGTCAAGATCTTTTTAATGATCATGTCACTCTCCTGGCTTACCTCCTTTAGTCAGTACAGAGGTCCAGTTTTTTAGCATAATAAGGCATTTCTATGATCTTTCTCATGCCTTTTTTTCTCATCTGCTACTTTCCCAAAAGTCTCTTGAAGTTCTCAGAATATTGTGTACCCTTTTGCACCTCAATAATTTTTCACCTCTTCCCTCAACTAAGAATGCCCTTTCTGTCCTCTGTCCAGCAGCTGCTCATTCATTAGTACTCACTTCACATGACTTTTCCTCTATGGATCTTTCATTCTAAGCATTTTAGTATTTATAGAACTTTCTAAAAATTTGTCGTAAACTGATTATAGGGTATTATAGTGGCTAATTTCCATCTTTACCATTCTTATTAGATTGAGTTATTTAAGGGCAGGAATAATGTGTTACTTACACCAGTATCCATTGTACTTAACATGGTACCCAGTAGGTATTCAAGCAAAATGTTTGCTGAATGAATAATCTTTTTTTTTAAATCAAGAATGGTGGCTGAATAAGTAATAATTTTGGGTATGACGAGCAAAGGAGTAAGACGACCAGTTAAATTCAATTTATCACATGTTTATTAAGCATTTACAACTTGTAAGGTGTTCAGCTGGGCATGTGAAAATGGGAGACCAAAATAAAGAGGAACTTTAAGAGATTGCAGTCTAGTTCTGGCTGGTGTGGTTCAGTTGGTTGGAGCATTGTCCCATACCTGAAAGGGTGCGGGTTCGATTCTTGGTCAGGGCACAAACCTGGGCTGTGGGGTTCAGTCCCTGGTCTGGTTGCTTACAGTCCTTGGTCTGGGCAGGTATGATCCCAGGGCCAGGAGCATATGTGAGGCAATCAATCAATGTTTCTCTCTCTCCTATCCCCTCATAATTCCTCTCTCTCTAAAAGCAATGAAAAAATGTTTGGGGGTGAGGATAAAAATATAATAAATAAAAAATAAAGAAGAGTTACAGTCTAGTGAAAGACTCCCAATTTCAGTAAATTGATGTAAGATGATGGTAAGGAATATAATAAAGAGTTGTTAAAAGAGTATGACTCATTTAAATGGAATCATGACTGGAAACATTTGTATAGAGTTTTAAAATTAACAAAGTTTATTTGTTTACAGGTGATGGTGGATCTACATCACAGTCTTAGTTGATGTTCTTAACATTTGTATTGATATTTCCTCATCATCACTTGCAAGAGGAGCTCCAGAGCCTCATTGCTGTGTGTGGTAAACACCATGATCTGGTATGATGCCATGCTTTTCCACTTCATCCTTTCTGTTCTGGCAGAGGATTTGGGTTAGAATTTATCTATTTGTTATTGCAAACAACTATGTAGAACTGAAAGTGGAATTTTTCAATAGTGTTGATATTGTGATTTCTTTGAGATGTGTACTACCTGTTCACAGAACTCCCAAATAGAGAGTGCCTTGCTTATTGTAGGTACTTAGCAATGTGAATTTGTTTGAATTGTGTATAGTTGTTAACTGCTTCTTACTGATTTTAACAGATATTAGTCTATTTTTTATTCCCTTTAATGATAAAGAAGCACGTAATATTAATTTTACTTATATTTAAAAGCTCAGTCTTCAATAATAATTAACCAGCTCTTATGGAAATTCAACTGGCAACTCATAAAATTTCATATCAGGAATATTTAATTATAAAATCTCTCTATGTATTAACATGAATGAACACTGGAGCCAATAAAAATATGCTTTCTTTGTAAAAAGTACATGTATTTTTCAGAATTCTGGGAAATGTCAAAGTAGTTTTGTCTGTGGTCATATTACATTTAGTAATATCGAGAATATTGCTAACATTAACAAAAGTATCCTTTTTGAAAAAAATCTATTTATTTTTTAGAAAGAGGGGAAGGGAGGGAGACAGAAAGAGAGAGAAACATCAATGTGTGATTGCCTCTCATGCTCCCCCTACTGGGGACCTGGCCCGCAACCCAGGCATGTGCCTTGACTAGGAATCGTACTGGCAATCTGTTGGTTTACACGCCAGTGCTTAGTCCACTGAGCCACACCAGCCAGGGCACAAAAATATTCTGTAATTTCCTCAGTTATTGCTACTGGAGATGAGGAATATGAAGTTGGCATGTTTTCATGTTTTGAGCATTTTCATTATATACTTCTGATTTTACTTGTCAGAAGCCATCTGTATTAGTTAACAGAGCTAAGAACATTTTTACTTAGGGTTAGAGGTCAGGCTTTGATTGTATTTTTAGATAAGTATACTTGTATATAGAATACAGTGAATGTGCCCAAGTAAATCAATGTACAATTTTGTATGTAAGTATTATATAGTATTTAGATATTTCTGTGACTTTAGTTCATGAAAACATAGTGATTGGGGACCAAGGCATAAGTTTGATTTCTATACTGGTTATTTAATTTAGTTGTTTTCTGTGACTATGGTTACACTCATCCTTCAGCTATAAGCTGTTGTTCACCAGGGTACTTTGGCAAGAGAATTGGCTAGATCAGCAAGTCCATTTCCATTGTGGAAAAACAACTTGAAACTCATTTCTACTGATGGTGAGTCAGTGTCATTTTCATACAGGAAAGATTGTGTTAGTATTATTTTAAGTTTCCAGGGTTATCAAATGATAGTTTGGTTTAAACTTTTTTATGAGATATTATTAGGATATTTAATCATAATTATTCATTATTTAAATGTAAAGGATCACACAGAAATCAACCTAACAGTGAAAGAGAATGGAAGTAATAATTTGGTGTTTAAGAATATACTTAAAAGCAGTTTGATTAGCTTCCCTTTTACTTGCATTCTTATTTCCATGTAACACATACCAGCTATAATTCATGACTTTTATTTGAATGAATATTGACTAGAACAGAATTACCTGTTCTATACTTACTTAAAATATAGTACTGATTTCAGGAAATTTCAGGATAACTGTAGTATCAATGTAAAGATTTTCTTCCATTTTATTTTTTCAACTGGTAACCATCATTAATCCTTACTATCTCAGAGATATAGTGGATGACTACTATGTTTAATATTGTAAGAGTTAGTAGTGTATCTGCTTAGCAATCTGTAGTTCAGGTCAATATTATTTCATGTATATTTAATAATCATAAGTTCATTTTACTGTACTAATTACTTTTATAATTTGACCCAACCTCATCTAACTATGAGGTATGTGTATATATACGTATATATGTACTTGTATATATGGGAGTATATATAAATAACTTGATATAGTTACTAATATTGCTTTGATCCTCTTTCTTCTAGTTGTTTTTAACTGAGTCATCTCCATTGTCAGGTTATCAAAGTAAATTTTGTAGTCTTGCTTTGCTAGTATTCTGCCTTTTTTGTTGTTATTATTATGTTTCTGATTTCTTCTTTCATTGTATAAACAAATCTCAAAGTTATAGACTGGTAGGATTTACTGAAGTCAGATGAAAGTCCTAACTGTAAGGAGAGGATCCTTATATTACAGGTATACGAGATTACGTGATTATAACTAGCCTTACAACCAGTACTATGTGTTTTTCTAAGAGGCCATGAAATAAAAAAATAACATGACAGTATAGTTTGAGAAAAGGTTTTATTATACAATTTTCTTTTCCTCAAAAACACCCTGAGTATTTCTATGTTAAGATTGGACCCTCCTGTCCCATGATCTATACATAATTATTCAGTGTAACTTGATACATTTTTCAAAATTTAGTCTCTTGCATACATTATTTTCATACCATACATCTCAGTATTATTATTATTTTCATATTAAGCCTATCTCAAACATTTTCAGTTGGACTAGACTTTGGAAATTTCTTTAATAATGCAAGTCTAACAGCATTGTTAGTGTATAAACTTGAGTTTATCATAGCTGGAATACTTTCTAGTATAGATATAATAATAAAATACTATTTTTTGAGTAATTAATATTTACTCAGCTCTATGCTTAAGTGTATCTTATTATATCTTCACAACAGTTATATGGGTAGAAGTAATTATCCCAGGTTTATAGATAAGGAAACAGGCTCAAAGAGCTTTATAATTTACATAAGGATAGTGGCTGACCCAGGATTCCAAACACGGACTGTCTGATCCTAGGGTTTCTGCTCAGACCGCCTATTTAAGAGTGCTGTGTTAAGCTGCATGAATGTGAAATGTCAGTTTGACCATTGTTGAGTAAAGCCAAATGAACAAGTTGTTTAGACATATGGAAATCTGTGATCCAGTGATTTTTATACTTAAAAATCCTTTAATTGTTTCTATTGTTTATAAGATATAAATTGTGTTCCCTTTAGTGTATGTACAAGGTCTTTTGTTATCGAGCCATTGCATACTATTTCAGGCTTACCTCTGGCAGCATTACCACTCAACATCATATATACTCCTTACATGTTGACCTTAGTTAAATTGAATAGCTACCATATTCATCCTACCATGATTAGTTATTTGGTACCTTTTATCTTCATTAATGTTTTCCTTCTTACCATTATGATCTTTCCTCTCTGATCCCTGGTAAGTAGCATATTTTTATTTAAGACTGAGCTTTGTTATTTCTCTGAAGCCTTTCCTGACTACTGGTCTCTGCCATTGAACATTACCTTCTTTTTAAAAAAATATTTTATTTATTTATTTTTAGACAGAGGGGAAGGGAGGGAGAAAAAAAAGGGAGAGAAACATCAATGTGTGGTTGCCACTTGCATGCCCCCTCCTTGGAAGCTGGCCGGCCTGCAACCCAGGCATGTGCCCTGACTGGGAATTGAACCAGCAACCCTTTGGTTTATAGGCCAGCATTCAATCCACTGAGACACACCAGCCAAGGCAGAACCTTACCTTCTTTAAGCCTTTCTGTTACATAGGTATATTCTAGAACCTATGCTTTATTATACTTATTTATTTATATGTCTCTTTCTAACTAAACTATAGATTTCTTAAGGGCAAGTACAAAGGCTGTGTGTCTAATTTTTTTATCCTCAGTTTTTAGCACAGTGGGGAACACAGTACATTTTTAATAAGCAATTTTTGAACAAATGAATGACTGTACAAATGAATTAATGGCTAATCTTGATAGGAAAGAAAAGATGATTCTCACAGTTGGTATGATAATGGTGATAGAGTGAATTCTAAGGTGGAATATTGCTACACTTTTCAGGGGCCATTAAGTGTGGAAAACAGTTTCTTGAGGTATCACCATAATAATAATAGCTTCTTGTAGACAATGTATAGTGTATGTCTGGAATTTTGTTATCTTGAACAACCAAACAATTATTGTTGGAAATTTACCCATAAAATTTAGATAGTTGATTTTTCATAAATATTTTATTTCAATGAGTATGATAGATCTTGACTCAAGGACTTTCCTTAAGGAGGTCCACATATACTTCAGTATTATAGTCAATCTAAAGTTAGAAAAGGACTCTTCTGCTTGAAAATTATGAAAAGTAATTAAAAAAAGCCTATTATCACATTTAAGATTCTATTTGCTTTAAAATAGTAATACATTCCTGATTAAAATGCTTATAATGACCAGTATTATCAGAATGACAAAATCTTACACAGGTTAATAGTTTTATATTTTGAAAAATGCCAATTTATCATATTACTCCTTTAGTAATATGCCAAGCTTTAAGTTGGTTCATATTTTCTCTATTTATAATTTAGTAAAATTATATGAGTTAGAGATCAAATGTTCTTTGGCCATCAGAGTATAATTTTAATTGAAGAAATGCTGTGCAATGAAGATATTGAAAGAAAGCTTAATGTTTCTGATATTAACTAGATTCTGTCAAATTTTTATTTGCTTTGGACTATATAAAACAACTTAAGAAAATACACTAAATTAGAATGAGCTATGCTGACATATCATATTCACTAAATAATTTAGATTAAATGAGGCAAATGTTGAGGAGGTTAGAAAGAGTGAAGTTTTCTTTGCTCAAGCTATAAACACTAAGAATTTTAATTTTGTAGGAAGAATTAAGTACTCTGGTCACTCAATTTCTTTATCCTTTAGCCTATTTAATAGTCAAATATTTCTAAGTAAATATGTGATTTAATTTGTGCTGCTGAGAAACAGCAATTAGAAATAGCAATAAAAGTCATATAATGAAATAAGAATACTAAAAAAATCCAGGGATTTTACTGTGGCTCATTATTCATTCAATTTCTGGCAGCCTTCATGATTACAAATCACTTGATTGACTAAATAGACATTCTCAAAGTGAATTATGAATCAGGTTCATTTTTCCTGGTTGA